GGTGTGAGGTGATACCTCATTGTCATTTTAATTTGCATCTTTTTGATGATCAGTGACATTGAGCATCTTTTCATATGTCTCTTGGCCATCTGTATGCCCTCTTTGGAGAAGTGTCTATTTAGATCCTTTGCCCATTTTTTAATTGTCTTCCTTTTGTTAAGTTGTATGAGTTCCTTATATATTTTGGATATTAACCCTTTATCAGATGTATCATTGCCAAATATGTTCTCCTGTACAGTGGGTTCTCTTCATTTTGTTGATGGTTTCTGTTGCTGTGTAGAAGCTTTTTGTTTTGATGTAGCCCCATTGTTTATTTTCTCCTTTGTTTCCTCTGCCTTAGGAGATGTATCTGTAAATATATTCTATGAGAGATGTCTGAGATTTTGCTGCCTATGGTTTCTCTTAGGGTTTTTATGGTTTCATGACTTACATTTAGGTCTTTTATCCATTTTGAGTTTATTCTTGTGTATGGTGTAAGTTAGTGGTCTAGTTTCTTTTTTCTTTTTTCTTTTTTTTTGCATGTATCTGTTCAATTTTCCCAACACCATTTATTGAAGAGACTCTTTTGACTCCATTGTGTGCTCTTGCCTCCTTTGTCAAATAATAATTGAGTATAATGGCTTGGGTCGATTTCTGGGTTCTCTGATCTGTTCCATTGATCTATATGCCTGTTCTTGTGCCAGTACCAGGCTGTTTTGATTACGTTGGCTTTGTAGTATAACTTGAAATCTGGTATTGTGATTCCTCCTTTGTTTTTCTTTGTCAAAATTGCTGCAGCTATTCGGGGTCTTTTTTGATTCCATGTAAATTTTTGGAGTATTTGTTCTAGCTCTGTGAAATATGCCATTGGTATTTTAATAGGGATTGCATTGAATCTGTAGATTGCTTTGGGTAGTATGGACATTTTAATGATGTTGATTCTATCAATCCATGAACACGGTATATTCTTTCACTTGTTTATATCTTCCTCTATCTCTGTTTTCAATGTCCTGTAGTTTTCCGAGTACAGGTCTTTTGCCTCCTTGGTTAAGTTTATTCCTAAGTATCTTATTTTTTTTGTTGCAGTGGTAAGTGGTATTGTTTGTTTAGTTTCTCTTTCTGAGTATTCATTAATAGAACAATTGTTTCTAACTCAATGTCTCTAGAGCTTTTCCATCGCATGGCACACATAAACTAATTACTAAATTTCTGCGGCACACCAAAAAATAGATTTTTTGCCAATCTGACAAAAAAAAAAAAGTAGGTATAATTTTGATTCATTCACACCAGATGGCTATTGTTTTGTTGGCTGTTGTCATTTTTTAATTTGACAATCTAAGGGGAAATAGGTCAGTGCCCCTTACTAAATAGTCAGGTATGACATGTCTTAAAAATTCTTGCAGCACCCCAGTTGAAAATCGCTGCTCTAGAGAATAACCATAAATTGAGATACGTCAACTCAAACCTTATTTCCTATATACACAAACTATATATTGAGATTCTGTTATTAGAAGCCCATATGAAAATAGCCATTAATATTAATGACTGCCATACATTGTAAGTTTTAGTGTCAGTCATTGTGGTAATCACTTCATAACAAGTAACTAATTTAATCTTCATGATAACCTCAGGAGCTAAAAAAAATTTTATCTTCAATTTACAGATGAAGCAACCCAGTAGAGCTAGAATTGGGTTTCTGATCTGACTTCATTTCCATGCTATTAAACATAGTTATACTATGAAAATACCAAAACTGATCATAAAAATCAATAAAGATAAAAGAAACCACAAACATATGTGAAACTAAACACAATATGAGAACTGCTTTGTAAATATGAAAGGTTGTTTTCTCCCCACATATACTTGTCTGGCCAAAGTTTGTTAAAGTGAAATTTAGACTGAAGACATCTTTATCTGGTAAATCTCCCTGTGAAAAATATTCTTTATTGCTCTGAAAACTAGAAAAAAATTAATCTCTGTAATTATGGGTATTTGTATTCTTTTTGCTTTTTTGTTGTTTTTTTCTCTATTAAACATGTTTTGTTTCTGTCATTTTTTTAAAATTTAGAGATCATTGGGAGCTACTAAAAAAAAAATTGTCAAGCTTGAATTAATAAAGGTTGTATAGACAGAATATATACCATTCATGTATATTTAAGTGACAACTAACAATTAAAAAACTATCACTTTCCAAGTAAACACTGAACTTTAAGACTATGCACTCAAAATATAATCACTGATTATAAGGTTGAAAAAAAGATGATGAATTTCATCAACACAATAAAATGATTTACTTTTGAATAATGGAAAAAAATAAGCAAAGAAGTTCCTAAACTTAAATTAGTATCTTAAACCCAAAATGAAAATAACTATACCTATATTTTTATTTTGGGATTTAAAATAAAACACAAAGAGCACATATGTCAAACTTCATCACATTGTACATTTTAAGTATGTGCAGTATATCAATTATATCTCAATAAAGTTGGAAAAACCTGGAAAAAAATTACTATGAGGTTAGGTCCTGTGGAAAATGCTTTTATAAAGTATTAAGCAGGAATAGTCACCAGATTTTTTAAAAAATATATATTTTATTGATTTTTTTACAGAGAGGAAGGGAGAGGGACAGAGAGCTAGAAACATCGATAAGAGAGAGACATCAATCAGCTGCCTCCTGCACACTCCCCACTGGGGACGCGCCCGAAACCAAGGTACGTGCCCTTGACCAGAATCGAACCCGCAACCCTTGAGTCCGCAGGCCGACGCTCTATCCACTGAGCCAAACCGGCCAGGGCAACATCAGATTTTTTTTTTTTAAGGGCCATTTCAATTCAGTGGGTTAGAAATGTTCAGTCTGCTTATCAATGTACAGAGCTAGGTTAAATGGGAAACCATGTGGAAAAATTAAAATGAGCTTAAAAATTATTTTGAGCTGAATCATGGACATACTAGTAAATGTGAGACTATTTCCATGAGTCTATGTAGGCAAAAAAGCAAACATGGCACATAAAATAAACTTAATTGTGCTTCATTAAAATTAAGAATTTCTGAGCATCAAAACTATGAACAAGCTACAGACAAAAAGGAAAATATTTGCAACACATATAGGGTGTCCCCCTCAAAAATGTATACACCTTTCACAGCTGATGGCTGTAGATTCTATTACATTTTGAAAATTAAATGTATTATAACAAACATTGCCTTTATAGTGTGTATGAATGTTTGGAGGGACACCCTGTATATCTGGCACTGGACTTATATTATAAACTTCCCTTAAATAAGAAAAGACTGACAACCTTTCATGGGCAAAACACTTGACTAAGCACTTCACTGAAGAAGATATCCAACCGGTCACTATGCATATAAAAAAGTGCTCGACAACATTAACTATCAAGGAAACGCAAGCTTAAAAATCACAATGAGAAATTAATACAACCTCACCAGCATGGGCTGTTTGCAAAAATGCAGAACAACTGGAAATCTCACATTGCTAGTTGGTGTGTAAGTTGATCTACTTTAGAAAACTTCTGGCAGTATCTAGTAAAACCAGTATGCCCTATGGCTAAGCACTTCCAAGCTCGGATATATTCCCAAGGGGAATGAGTGCATCAGTCCATCAAAAGACATGCGCCCTGCTCTGGCCCCACCTGCTTAGTTGGTTGGAGTGTCTTCCCAAAAGGTTGTGGGTTCTATTCCCCGTCAGGGCATACACCTAGGTTTCGGGTTTGATCCCCAGTTGGGGTGCGTACTGGAGGCAACCCATCAATGTTTCTCTCCTCTCTCGTTCTCTCTCCCTCTCTCTCTACCTTCCTCCCTCTCTCAAAACATATCCTCAGATGAAGATGTAAAAATAACAAAAAGGCAAGTACCCAATGTTTGTGACTGCTTCTAGAATATCCTCAAAGTGTAAACAACCCAGAAGGATAAACTGTGGTTTAGTAATACAATGGAGTACTAATCAAAGTGAAAATTTTATACATATATATATGTATATATATATACACAATCTCAGTGTGTGTGTTTCTCTCTCCTGCTGTTGTGGACAGGGATAATCAAGATCAGTTCTTGAAGACTAGGGGGAAAGGAAAGGGAATTAGCAAAGAGGTGGGAAAAAACGATCCCCACATTCCGAAGCCAGATCCACCGCAATTAGACAAAACAAGAATGATAGATACAAAAGGTAATTTTTCAATACAAAATAAGAAATGTGTGTCTATTAAACAGCCTATTGCACTGTGGTGTGTATGTCAACATTGCTTTAGCCTTCAGATGTCCCTTTACAAAAAAAAGAGCCAGATGGTAAATCCATAGTTTCCCCAGTAGTCACGTCGTGGTAGGCATTTGTCTTCCAAAATAGATAAACCTAATTAACTCAGAATAATTTTTCTTCAGAAATGTTTGAGTCATCACACTTAGATAACGATAAATCCAAGATTACCACCACCTTTGAGACTAGGAATGCAACCCACCCACGCACAGTTATTATTATCAGGAGTTCATTCCTACAAGAATGCATTGGCAATTGTTCTAGCGATCACAGCCGCTAGGCCGGGGGTGGAGGAGTGTGAGTGCTGGGGCCCTGCCCGCCCTGAGCTGGGACGGAGGACCCGGCGGGGGGAGACGGGAGGC